TCCCAGCCTGGGACCTTTCTTGGTGCAGTTTATGCGTTCTCTTAGTGCTTGCATGGGTTTTCTCCGGGTACGCCGGTTTCTCTTCACAGACTCTAAATTGTCCCTCGGTGTGTGAGAGCGTGAATGGTTGTTTGTCTCCATGTGTCCCTGTGATGGACGTGTGAAATGTCCAGGGTGTCCCCCACCTCTCACCCAGTGACTGGTGGACATTGGTACCAGCTAGGGATGCACGATATTGGATTTTTGGCCTATATGTTAGAACATAGCCCTCTTATTTAGGCTTATTTGCTACAAAAATTGTGTAACGGCTGTAAGAGCTGGTGATATTTCTTCAGTAACGGCCATATGCATAGCACTTTAACTTATACCTGTATTAAATGAAAAGTGTTAAATGTTGTTAGCATTAGTCACCGACTATTAGCTTCTCAATGACATCGGAAATGACGGCTTGTAACTCGGGTAAGACTACGTTGGAGAAATATATCTGACTGTGGACGATGTAGCGATGCTCAACGTAGTCCAAAAATCTTTGGAATCCGATATCCTCAACAACAAAAAAAAACTTCCACACCGCCGACATTTTGACTTCTTCCTCTCCGCCGTGATCAGATCAGGTGGGTGCGCGTGACGTCATCACGTTGTGCTGGCGCTGCAGGCGTCCTTGTCACTGGGTTGTTATACAAAAGCAGCACCTCTTATATTGGTGATTTCTTTTGATGGAATGGCCGATGTCCGATATTTAACTTTAATGCTAATATCGGCCGATACCATGCCGATAATATCATGCATCACCAGTACCAGTGACCCAAACAGGAAGAGGCAGGTAAAAACGATGGATGAACGTTTGTGATTGTGAATCTGTTCTTGGTGGCGGTACTTGTTTTTGTCAAACTCTTTGAAGTTCAAATAACTGTCTTTACTGTAAAATAAATAAATCAATAATGTGACGTTTTTTTCTGTCAGCTCTTTAAATTGGCTGTTAAACAGTTTAGTTTCTTCCTCCTGCAGCAGTAAACATCAGCAGTAAGAAAGATTTGGTTTTAAAGTGGATTTTTTTTTTTTTTTTCTGCGCGTGTTTGTGTTTGTTCCTATGAGTTGATTTATTTCCTTTTGGATCGTCCTGACAATGATGAACTAGATGTGAAGGGTTGAGCTGAAGGAGTTTCTGTGAGTCGTTCCCTTTTTATTTTGATGTTTGCATTAATAGAATCGAGCTGCTGGAAATTTAAAGGTGTTCTACTGTTTCTCGGTGCTGTATAAGAAAAACATGAGATCGCTGATGGATAATGTCTGTTACAACCACATGTTTTCATATCACAATCCTCACAAACTCTCTATGTGGACATTTAGAGGAGTAGGATGTCCATGTTATTGCACTATATATATATATTTTATGCTGTTTGTGTGATTTATTTAAATCCTTTGCAATTTTAATACTGCAAAGAAATGTATGATGCATTGTTCAGCCTTACTGCATAATAATCTACCGACATCATAGTTTGTTTTTGTAACCACTTTTGTTGACCTTTCTTTCCGTTTTTATCGCCTGCTGTTGAAAGACTAAGGCAGAGCGATAATGTTTTTCCCAGTTCGCTGTCGTGGAGTGAAAAGGAGGTAATGCCCTCCGTCCGTCTGTCCAGGAGTGTTGTGAGCGCCATAACATAAAAAATTAGTGAGGTATCAACTTCCTTTATGGTGTGTGGCGCCGGCTAGGCTTAAGAAAGGTTTGATTGATTTCAATGGTGGGAAACACATGGTGGTAACGGAGCACAACATTAGTATTGACAGCAGTGTTTCCACTAGGTCGCTTGCCTTGGCAGGGTGGATTTTTGTCATGGTGGGGGGTATGTTGGTGCGTGATGGAAGTGGAACTCTATGTCAGTAGCCTAGCTTAACGCTGCATCAGTGTCAGCAGTTCTCGGGGGTTGGGGGGAGTTGTGGGTGAAGGACAGTTCGGTAGGCGGAGCTCTCGGCTCGGTTGACAGGGTGGGGCACCCTCCTTGTTTATTGGTAGGGGAAACACTGGACAGTTCGGTTGTTGAAGGTGGGGGTAGTGAAGCGTTACGGTACAAATGCTAGA